TCTCTGGAGGAGGTCCTCACCGTTAACAAAATAACCAAAGCCCAAACAGCAGTTTCCTTTTCTGAACACCCTTTTAACAAAACCAATAAATATCTGATCTTTGTGCTTCACAGGACAGCACAAAATGGTAGATGGCATCATAAGGTTTGCTTTAGCTTCTTTCACAGCCTTTCATAGGACACAAATCTGAGTACAAATATTGTAAATATTTTCCCTTTGTACACTGGCAGTAGGGTTGTTTTTTTTTTTCATTACAGTGTAATATCTAGCAATATGTCTACCTGAAAATTTTGAGATTAAAAAAGCTCTACCTTGAACATATCTTCTGTCCATAAAGAATTGCAATTTTCCCCTCAAAAATAATACTGAAAACTTTGCATAGAGTTTTTCTGGAAGTGCTATGCTTTGTGATGTATGATGGTGGGTACATTGAAGAACATGTACATGTACATCTACATCTGGAGAATATGTCTCTCCTGGCAAGTCTTCCCTTTTAGAAACACACTTCTAGAGAAACTTTGATTATTTATAGCTCTAGCCACATAACCTTTCAGCTGTCACCTTGCAGAGAAGAAAATAAAGTGACATAAGCAGAGCTGAACAAACTACTGAAAGCAAACAATATATTTATTTACTTTTTTTTCTTTTCTATATGTCAGTTACCTCTGAACAGACCTGGCCTCATTAAAAAAAATGTCTTGTTTTGATTTGCTGAATGAATTGCAGTTCATTTTGGATCTCACTCTATCTCTTTTGCATATGGACTAGGTAATTCCCCGAACCACTTTTAAGATGGCTGCTAGCACGACTGCATGTTATCAAGACTTGCAGTTAATATTCCTGTGCAAAAGAGGTGGCTTGTATGATTTTTTTTTGTGGGAATCAGAGAAAATGGCTGATATATACCCTTTAAACAAATTTCTTCTCATGTGTATGCAGCGTGTAATAATAATCATTTCTGAAAAGAATCCCTTATGAAATAGGGCTCTCTATCAATTACTCTAAAGCTTTATAGAATAAGGCTTTAGGAACAATGTCTTTTCTGTAGGTTTCTAATTTATGATAGCAGTTCACTAGCTCAGTAATAATGACTATATTCTGTAAGATCATTTAGCACATAATCTGCAGGAAAAAAAAAAAAAAGGCAATTCTTTTTATTAACTTTAACAGGACTTCTCCATAAAGGATTTAATTGGGGATGGTATTTACTCAGCTCTAGAGCTTCAGATTTAACTGCATGTAATCCTTTTGCTTTCCCCACCCCACCTCTGCAGTAGGTTGCTTTCTCTGTATTTCATCATGGCTGCTCCTGCCTTACCCACATTCAGGTGGTTGGTTCCATCAGCTCCTCTACTGCCGTCATCCTATGTTTTTCTAACCTCCCTTTTCCCATAATCTGTCTTAATCCTCTTTTTTTTTCTTTTTCTAGGGTGTTGATGATACATTATAGAGAGGACTCTTAGGATATAAAGATGAGTTGTGTAAGAGGATTTACCAGGCAAAAAGTGAGGGACCACATAAAAGATGAGTCACTGTCACTCTTAAAATGCAGCAGACAAAATGGGGAAAGAACAGGTGTTTGGTTTTAAGCTGTACTTAATACCAAACACCTGTTGTTTTAACTTGATTTTACTTTTTCCCCACAATGTTTTCCTTCAAGAATTTCGATTAATATTGCCAAATCGCTGCCAAACAGGCTTACTTGCTGCTTTCAAACCAGGCCAATTCCTCTTGGACCTCCTGCTGGCTTCATGGGCAGTGTGGCTCCTGAACTCTTGTGAAATCCCATTTACCCATGCAAATACAACCAAAGACTTTTGGTCATCATTGCACCAACACAATGCATTCATGTCAGAACCCCTGCACCTGCTGCAAGTGGATGCATCAAAGTACTCTAGTTTCAATTTCTTTGTGTTTCAGAAGTTTAAAAATCATTTTTGGGATGCTGAAGCAAACCTGTGTCGCACACATAATTCCTATTGGAGTGGGTAAGGCTTTTCCAGTAAATGACTTGGGTGCATGATTAGTACCACTGTGGCATCAGTGACATCATTGCTCTGTGGCATGGAAACTGTGATGCTGACTGAGCAATGAAAAACCAAATTGAGATATACTGGGGAGAAAGCAGATGTGATTCATCACTAATTTAACCTCAGGTACTGAAATGGCCACCAAGCGTATCTGACTTGGCTGCAATTCCATGTATTTTACAAACATATATGTACAGAGCTTGAAAACTAATTTTCACTGTCATCTAACTTTTCTTCTGTAATTGCTTTTATTTGTCCAGCCAAGAAGCAGGTGACCAATCAGGTATGAATTGGCAGTGGGTAATGAAAAATAATCAAATGAACAGTTTTAAACTAACCCTTAACCTGAAAGCTGCTTGTCTAAACTATCTGATTATTTCTTACAAATCAAAATGTGTTTTGCCTGGTTTGTTGTATATACACATACATATTTATACATGCTCAATTCATATTCCTTGTATAAATACATAGATACACTGTTTCAGGCAGTAATATTTGAACAACTGTAGTTTGAATGAACAGCAATTGAGACATTTATCGTAGATTAGCATAGTCAAACAAGATTTCTACAATTATAAATTGACGGTGTAAAGTTTCACTGATTTGATATTGACAGAACAATTTGGGACTAATCTGTCTACAGGAGGAACTTTAATTTTTTTTCAGATGAATAGCTCTCGCTTTTTGTCAGTCATTTCAGTCTGATTATCTCTTTCAATGTAAACATTTTAGTGTAAGAGATTTTCTAATGGGAAGTTGTTAATTGCAGAACAAACAGGCTGCAACAACAAAACATAATTCACTAACGTTCTGTTTCCGTGAGCTAAACTTTCTCGAAGAGAATTTAAGCGTTTGCTGGATCTCCAGTTATCCTGCGGCAATTGTGAGAGAAAAGCTCTGTGTGTGAAGTAAGTAACGGTGAGACTTCAGGAAATAAAAGCATCTCACATAAACAGACATATAAATTAGAAGGTTTTGATAAAGTCAAATATACCAACAGAAAATGGATCACAGAAGCAGATGTAGTTTTCTGTGTTTTAGTTCAGGATTTTTAGGACGACAGACGTTAAGAACCACTCAGATGAAAGCCCGCTCGGAGGTTTTTTGTTTGTTTTGTAAGTTTTCAGTTTGTTTGCTGAGAATCTTTAATCTGTTTCGGCACATAAAACCTTTTGCGAACTCTGTGGATTGTTTCTAACTGTTACGAAACATTCAACTGGCTGAAAATGCGCTTGAATTTGAAAGCACTATTATTTTCAGAGGAGCATCTTATTTTGCAGCATTCCAGACGAAGTAGTAGGCAAAGGCTCTAACTTTGACAGGAGTTAGTGTGTATTCTAGCGTTAAAAGAAGCCCTGAAATGATTTCTATAAAACCCTCGAACGATTTTAGATACAAACCAAAAGCGTAGGTTTGTATTGTTTTCAAGGCAGGAGTCGAAATTCGAAAGAGCCTAATTTGGCACTGGAATAGGAAGATCGCGGTAGTTTGGTGAGGATTCCCACGGGCACCTAGCACCACAGAGCCGCTAACGCAGCACCTGCAGCGGCAACGGACGACTCAGCGGTTTGATCTCCCAGAAAGCAGAGGAGGAAAACAGCACCTCCCGCGTTTCGGGGACCCTGCTGCCAGCAGGCAAAGAAGCATCTTCTCCGCGAGTATCCGCAACAGCTCCCGCGGTGCCGGCTCCCAGTGTCTCTGGGAGGGCAGCCCCAGCCGGGCGAGGACCGCCGCAGTTGCCGTTTCTCCCCCCTCTGGCGGACGGCAGCGCCGGGGAACCGGCCGTCTACCTGAGGAGCGCGGTTCCCTCCGCCCCGACCAGGTACATGAGAGGAGGAAGCCCCGGTCGGGACGTCCTGCCGAGACGGGTGTAATTCAGCGTGTACCGGCCCCACCGCTGAGCACGGGCAGGTTGGCAGGTTCCTCGCGCTGGCGGTCGGTGCGCTGAGGCAGCTGTCAGCCTGGCGGCCGGGCGGAGGCTCTGAGCCCAGTGCCCCCTCTGAGGAGAAGGGGCAGCCCTAAGGCCCTGCCGCTGCCCGCCGGGCGAGGGGAGATGAGGGCAGGGCCGGCAGAACCCCGCCTTGGTGAGCGCCACCGCCTCAGGGGCTGCTCGGGCCGTACGGGCTGCCTGGGGCACGAACGATCCTCGCTGCGGATGAGGTGAGGGGGGCGAGTGTCAGGAGGGGCGGGCAGGGACGCGCTGACCGCTATCCTGCGGTGCCGTTACGCTGACAGGCGGCGCGGGACAACGCCTCCCCATAGGCCGGCAGCCGCCCGGCCCGAAGGCAGTGCCTGGCCGGGCTGAAGTGCGCCCCGCCGGTGGTCGGTGATGCTCGGCCCCTTCTCCGCTGTCGGAGGTAAGCTCCTGCGGGCTTGGACCTCTCTCCGCCTGCCTCTCGGCAACGGCTGGCACCCAGGGCAAAGCGAGTTCGGGGCGAAAACGAAATACGTGGGGCGGGGGCTTCTAGCTCAGCCATCGGCCCCGCTCCGCTCCGGGCCCGGCCTTGGGCTTCCCTCGGCCGGGCTTTTCCCCGGAGGCTGTCCCGCTGAGGGCCGCTGTAGCGCTGCCCACCTAGGCGCCGTGCCGCCGGGACGGGCGGGCTGCGGCCAGGCTGGCGGGGCGGGGTGGCGAGGAGGCGGCGGAAGGGCCGGTGGAGGTGGCAGGACGAGCCTTCAAGGGGAGCGCTGCCGCCCGAGGGCTGCGGAAAGGGACCCCGACCTCCGGGAGACCCCGCCAGGGCGCCGGAGTGCCGGCTTGACGGGCTTCGTTGGCGAACGGCACCGCCTGTGCCTGTGGAGCAAGGCCGGTGGCGGCCCTGGAGCCACGGCGCACCAGAGGCCAGCGCCTGAGGTAGCCCCTCGAGGAACTGGACGCCTTGGTGGGCTGGGGTTGAGCGGTGTGTAGCTGCAGGTGTGCCAAGGGGGTAAGGGGGAGTGGCTGGAGGGGCGTGTGTGGAGCAAACACGTGTGATCTGGGGCAGCGAGGAGGAACTGTGCATCTCCGCATGGGAATGGGGATTTGATGCCCCACAGAAACGGAGGGGCGGCACGCTGGCACTTTCATCCCAGGCGCCGCAGGGCGCCTGCTTTTTGATCTCGGTAGATGGAAATATCTGTTTAAAATAACGAGTTCGCATATGGAGGATCTTTTTACTCGCGTGTCTCTCTGCGGTCCCTTTAGGTAGCTGCGGTGCTATCGCTCCCTTGTGCGCTCCGGTAAGGAAAGGGAGGAAGGGCGGCAGCCGGGAAGCGTTGGCTCCGCCAGTGGGCGTTCTCTGGCGGCCGGGCCGCGGCTGGAAGCGGCACTGCGGTGGTTTCATCTGCCTCTTTGCAGGCAAGCACGGACATTCGGGGCAGTATTTTGCCCCGCTCGAAGAAAATACAGATCGTTGCCGGTTTCTTGCTTTGAATGAGAGGTGGGAGCATGAGGAAAAGCAGACTTTAAAAGGGGATCGGAACCGCTTGGCGGTCAGTAGCGCCCTGTCCCCTCCGGCCTAAAGGGGGAACGGAAATGTGAGCATTCCGTGCGTGCGGGGAGACGGGACGCGGAGGAAATACTGCCCGCGGGTCGCTGGAGGGATCTGAAGACCGAACCGCCGTTGGTTTTGTTTGGCTCCGTCTTTCTTCGGCTTTCCCTTTCGCTTTACTCCGGTATCTCTCCTAGGCGTCCTGCCTTAAACTACCACGAAAGGGAGGGAAGAGCGGAAGCATGTCCAACCCGGAGAAGCGGATCATATCCCGCCCCTCGGCCCCCCTGGCTGCCGCACCCGGGGAAAAGCCCGGCTCCGGCAGCCGCCCGCTCCACTCCCATGGACAGAGCGGCGGAGGTGGGGGCACCGGCGGGTCTCCTCCTCCCCCCACTCCTGGAGGCGGCTCGGCTGCCTGCAGCTCCCTCTTTCTCCTCCTAACAACCACCAGCAGCAGCAGAAGCAGCGCTGCAGGGACAGCCTCCTCCGCCGCCAACGCCAGCATCGTCCCCAGAGCGGCAGCGGCTCCTTTCCTCGCTCCAGTCCCCTCCTTTTCCTCCGCTTCTCCATTTTCCTTTTACTTCTTGCCGCCGCCTCCTCATTTCCCCTCCTTGTCTTCCTTTAACCTCACAAGTCTCCAAGGGAGGGAAGGAGGAGGAGAGGCAACGAGAGCGGCAGGAGGAGGAGGAGGAAGAGATGTTGGCGGAGCAGCAGCAGCAGCTCACTTGATCGCCCATCCAGGCGGCAGCGGCAGGAGGAGACTCTTCTGTTCTTCCTCCATCCAGGGCTTGCTGCTCAGTTCCGCAGCCGGCGGCCCCCGGCAGCACCACTCTCGGCTCCTCCTCTCTCCAGCCGCCTCTCGCCCGTGGTCCTACAATTCCCTCGGTGCTGCAGCAGCAGCAGCCCGCGGCGACGGGATCCGAGGCGGTGACGGCCCCGGCGGGAGCAGGACTCCTAGGCGGCAGCAGCGGCAGAGAGGCGCCTTCTTCTCCTTCTCATCTCCCCTGCTCCTAGGGCCAGACATGGAAGATGGATCTAATTCTACAAGCTGCTTTAGGAGGTTTACGGACTGTTTCTTGAACACAAGTAGGTACCGTGGCGCTGTGCCCGGCGGCGGGTCGCTTGTGTCTCGGGGGGAGGCGAAGGGCTGTGTCCGAGGCGGGGTGCATGCCTGGAGGAAAGAGCGTTTCTTTGTGAGTGAGGGGGAGACGCAGACACAAAGGGGCCGTATACGTGGGGGGTGCGTGGACGCATGGAGGAGCCACCGGGTGTGTGCTGAGGATGCACGGACAAAGGGGATGCTCAGTGTAACCGAGTGCTCTTTGTGGGAGCTGGCTGCTAACGCCTCGTGGGTTTCGGCATCGTTTCGCGGTCGGACAACTCTACCTATGTGTGTGCCAGCTTTTTACCTGCTGCATGCTTAATCTGCTCAGGAATGAGACGTACAGAAATGGAGACTTCCCCCCTACTTACTTGAGTAGCAATAAGGAAGCATTATGGTATCGGCAACTGACAGAAAAGCGGCGGCGGAGGACCGAAAAAGGGTGGAATGTATCTCTTCTTCCTGCATCCCCTGTCAGATCTGCCGCACGCGTGCAAATTCCATGTTTCTAATCCGGCTGTGGTACTGGGTGCCGCCTTTCCCGGCCGTGGCTCGTTGCGAGGCGGGCAAGGAGCCGGAGAGGAAACGTGCTTCTCGCTGGGGGCCGGTGCTGTAACGGTGATAGTGACGGGAGAACGGCATACCGGGGGCGCAAAGGCGCTCCGCGAAGGGCGCTCCGCAGCGAGCAGCTTCCGCTGCCGGCTCAATCCTCGCCGGCTCCCACCGAAACCGGGCGGAGGGTCGCGCTCGCCCGTATCTGGAGGCGGGAGCTGGGCGAGAGCGGCTCCTCGGCCTCTCGCTGCGGGGCTCGGCGGGTGCCCTCCCCGCGCTGGAGCGGGGAGCCCGGAGGTAGCGGGGTCAGCTGGCCGTCCCGAGCTATTAAGCTGGGTTGGGGGTGGTGGTGGAGGGTTTCGCATGGGCAGAAACTCCCTGTTCATACGGACGCGGCCCGGCGCCCCCTCGGGTGTCTCGCCCCGAGCCTGCCGCTGCAGCCTTCCCTCTCCGTGTCGTCTCACTGATAGACGGGTGGGCGCCGCCGGGGTTTGGGGCTGAAACCTCCCCGGGTCGGGCTGCCCGTGCCCTCCCGCCAGCCCTTCCTCAGCTCCAGCGGCCCGCCGGGCAGTGTGCTGGGGTTGATAAATGGCCAAGACGAGGTGCAACAGGGCTAAAATACCTTTTCTTTTTTTTTTTTTTTTTTTTTTTCTAATCATAAACTCTGGTTTATTTTTTCCCCTTGTTTAGTATATGATGATGAGGGTGATTTCAGTCAGCCGCGTTTTTTTTTTTCCTTTGTGACAATTTCTTAAATCATAGTTCTGTGCTTTAGTCTCCCTAAACTTGCATGCAAATCTGTTAGCATACTTTTATTAGGTGGCTTTTTGGATACAGGTGACTAGTACATAGTGTACGCATGTATGTATTTTGGGGGGATATGAGAGGAACTATGGAGATACCAGCTGAAACCTCATTATTTGTCTTTTTGCCTTACAGCTATCTTTAGCACAATTGCCTGCAAGTGTGGCAGTACTTGTTCCGTTCTCTGATGGGGTGAATAAATATTACTATATATTTGCTGCATTGTCTTTTTGAAACTTTATTCAATAGTCGATTATGTTACAGAGCCACACACTTGTTTAGTTTTGAGGCCTGAAGGAAATCCTAAGCTCTTACAGTTTTTATTTTCTCTATGTTTGAGAGGGGTAGCATGCTGTCATGTGTGGTGCAACTCTGATGTTTCAAAATAAGTCGTCTCTGGAGCAAGGGAGTAAGCCAGGGAACGTGTGTGATGTAGGGCAGTTCACTCCTGTGCTAGACCAAGAAAAAGATGACACAGAAAACCTCAGCTCTATACAAACCACCATTTTAAAAGCAGTGGCGAATGCAACTTCAGCTATTTTATGAACACTTGAACACCAGAGACCTGGTCATCTTTGAGTGATTATGACCTCTGACTGAAGATTTTCCTGCAGACAGAGAAGGAGCAGAACGAGTCTTTCCGTTGTGAATTTAGTGATGTCTAAGAAGACACGCAGCCTGTCTCTCTGTGAAGTCACTTTTCTGTGCTCTGCAGAATGCTCTCATGAAACTTTCAAGAACTTACATGTCTGATATCTCTACTCCTCTTTTGAATGTGATTGAAACTGGCCAGTAGGCTCAAAAGGTATTAGTGAAGTCAGACAGACATTCACATGCGTGTGTATATGCATACGCACACACTTCTCTCCTTCCCTGAGTGATTGCCGAAGTCTGATTTCCTTAGGAAACCAGGCTGAAAAAAGGAGTGGAGGGAAGTCAAACAAGACACTGTGCCATTCCAGTGCAGCTACTCCAAAGAGCACTTGTCCAACTGTTTGGAGTACTGTGCACAGTCCTAGATACAGTGCAGCCAGAAGGCTATTATTGTTCTGTAGGGGATGAGATCATGTCTAATAATGAAGATAATGTGCTGCATCTCATAGCTTTTGTTTTCTGAATTGTATTTTAGGTTCTAAATCATACGTATATATGCATATACACTGTCTGACTTTAAAGACAACAAGTCTAAATGTTTTCATAGGGAAACCAAAGAGTTCTGTAGGGAAGAGAATTGAAATGAGCTCTCTTGGAAGGGAGATTTAAAAGTGACTGAACATACCCTTAAAACTGGAAAACAATAAGATTGCTAGAGATGTATTCTTTTTCCTCTGAGTTCTTTTGATTTGCATGCTCTCCAGTCAGGATTTTGTCAGAAGGTTCTTGATATTATTAAAATTTTGGGTTCTGTAATACTCAGTTTGTGCCATATCTATTTTTGTTTTTAAGATTCGTAATAAAGCCCTGGACTAGACTGAAGAAACTTACATGAACTACATGAGGTGGTGTGGTGTTTTTCTTAGCTGTCTACAATCTGTAATCTTGTGTGTAACGTAGTGTTGTGAGGAACTTATAGTATCTAACATCCCAGGTCAGTTCTCCAGTGGTGTTCTACTGTATTTAGGATACTGCAAGCTGCCAGGGATTCCAGGTTTCTGTGAAATGGCTTGCCTTCAGGGGTGAATCCCGTGTTCCTTCTACATTCGAGGTCTCTCAAGCTCCACATAGGTAGCATATTTTGTCTGTGTCCTGTGAGTCTGCTCACAAGTATGAGTATTTTACAGTATGTGGGGATTTCTGCTTAGCAGAGTATTATCAGTATATTGATATTTTATACAGTTACCTTTTATCTGCTTTTTTTTTTTTTTTTATTATTTTGTGATGCTGCAAGTTTATCCTGCACCTTCATGTGCCAGATGCTAAGACTTCCTGATTGAGTAGTACTCTTAAGAAAGACTAGATGTAGTAAGATCTGTAGTGTTGTGGAAAAAAATAGCAATTAAAGTTTAACTGAAGTTAAAAATGTTTCTGTTACCTGTGCTAATGGGAAAATTAATCTTGGCTTGACTCTCTTTCCTGGTCTGTGTATTCATTACTTGTAATCACGGTTTTGTCATCCAAATACTGATCTTCACCAATGAGTCCCATGTGTAAAGGTGGACAGGGTTTTGGTTTTACAGTTAAATCATCCTTAAAATGTAGATGCTGATGTAGAAAACAGTTGTTTCTGGTTTTCACCCAGGGATTCTGGCTCCACTTTAATTGAAAGCAAAATTGTCACTAATGCAGTGTATAGTTATCATCATGAGTGATGTCATTCAGTGGCTCCCATCAAGACTGATGTTTTATAATATCACATTTTTGCATTAATGTATAGGAACACCATGCATCCTGGTCTGAAGCACTGTCATTCTATTTATGGGGATAATGAACTGATACAGAGGGCAGACAGCAGGGAATGGTATGGAAAGGGGATGGAAACTTTGGGCACAAGTGAAAAAGGACTTGCTTGCCCAAGTCGGTATTTCTACAAATGGTTGCCTATAAAGCATGCAGTTTAAATTTGAAATAACTAATCCTCTGTCCCTTTGACTTCTCAGCTCAGCTGTCCATGTCTGCCTGATGGCTTGGGGGTACCTAGCGCTCATAGGCCTTGAGAGGGGAGGTGATGCCTTCACTGTTAACTCAGTAAGCTTGCTCCTCGTGTAAAATGGACTCTGGAAGGTGTGATTATGCACGGTGGGATAGTGTAAGTGAGTTGGGAGATGGTTTCTCTTTATCACTTGTGTGAGGAGAGTGGCAGCCCATTTAAGATTCTAACACAAGTTTGGTGGCTCCAGTCACTCTGTGTTCTCCTTCCTTTTGCTCATGTTTAAGCAATGCTTGTTGGTCGGACATGATGAAAACCTAAAAGTATGAGGGTTTTTGTTTCAGCATATGCATAATGCAGTGACTTGATTTTGAAACAGACCTGTAAATGTTCATTCCCACTACGGATCTAGGGCGTATAATTGGCTTACATGCTTTTAAATCTTCTGTTGTGCAGATCAGTAGAACAGTGCCTTTTGTTCACTTTTAATACTTTGTGCTGTATTCTAACACAAATAGTTTGTATCTAACATTCAGTGTACTCAAATCAGGAACTCAGTTTTTTATTTGGAAAATAAGAATGAGAGTCTCTGCATGTGTGGATTTATAAGTTGGATATAGCTCATGCAGCTTGTTGATTGATGCTAACTTTGTGTGTTTGGTGAGACTAATATGAGCTAATTTTTTTTTAATGCTACTTAAAAAAGTATTTAGTTTCAAGTCATTATGTTTAATACTTTAAAATTCAGTGGTTTTTACAATATTCTAGTTTTTGCACTTTTGGCACTATGATTCTATTCTAAAAGAAAGCTAAGATCATGAAAAATATATAAAAGGAAAAAGAGCTCTTTGGGGGTTTTATTTTCTTTGTTTTTATGCTCCCTCTGCTGGCTATTTTGTTTACAAGTACCTGTACTCGAACGCTTGCCACTAAATCTGCTGTTCCTTTACTTTTTTATTAAATGAGCAGCAATGCGTATGGATTTTAGTCTGTATTTAATATCTTTAAAAGCCTGTAATTGTTAAATAAAGAAGCACTGTT